CTTAAGTGTCTGTATACATTTTGGTTTTTCTATATATATATATATATATATATATATAAAACAAGATTTCAAAAAGCAAAATTAAACAAAAAAAGCAAAAAAGAGAAAAAACAATGATAAAGGTAAAGAAAAACTAAAAAAGCAAAAAGGAAAGAAACATTTTAAATTAGTAAAAAATAAAATGTCACTTTTTGATAAAAGTGCTAAATGAATAAATGTAAATGTAAAGAGAAAGGAAAAAAATTTCAAAAACAAAAGCACAAAATGAATAGAGAAGAAGGGAAAAAAGAAAAATTATAAAGGAAAAGAAAAAAGTGGAAATGAAAAATAAAAAAGCAATAAACCGTAGAAGAGAAGGAAAAAAGAAAAGATTAAAAGAAATAAAGAAAAAAACCAAATAGAAAAAAAAAGAAAACTAAGGAAAAAGCAAGCAAAAAGTAAAGGAAACTACAAGAAAAATGTAAGGAAAAACAACGAAAAGGAAAAAATCACGATCAAACTATGTATTTAAAACAGAGTAAAAGCCAAACTCTGCTTGTCACTGATGTACACAGTGTCCTCTATTTGAACTCTACAGCTGAGTGAACTGATCTGAGAACAGATGAAGAGAGCAGACGTTATCTGTCAGATCTGATGTCTTCTGATCAATCACACTCCAGAATCACACCGCTCACCAAACCACTTCACCTTCAGCAAATCAATCCCAGCTCACCCAGTGAAGATCACAGACCCTCAAACACTGCTTCTGCAGCTACTAAACACATCTCAGTTAAACTGACGCCTAAAACCTTCAACACTCGTATCTCACAGGAATATGATGTTCAACTGTAAATGTGAAGAGTCTCTGAGGAAGATCAGCCGTCCCTCGACACCATCAGATACTGACCATCTGCTCCTCACTGAAGATCACAGCAAAACCAGGCCAAAACCAGCATCTCAGCGGGACAAAACCGGGCCAAAGAGTTCATCTGAACCAATATCTGCAGTCATTATCTGTGCCTCTTTCACTCCAGACCAGCGGATCCTCCAAACGAATTAAACCATTTCAAATCAAAACATTAAAAATTGGAGAAGAGACACATGTGCTCACATCACACCGCATCAAACCAACAAATAATTACAGAGAAACAACTGCCGGATTTACAAAAGCAGAAGTGTTTTCTGCTCAAGAGCGACTGTGAGCGTCAGTCACTGGAGAAACACTTAAACGCTCACCTGAAATAACGCTGTTTACATCAATGTCGTCCTCCTCATCCTTGATACGCAGATACTTCGTGGACTGAGAGAGTCTGAAAAGAATAAAACAATTCTAAAAATATAACACACACACATTTATACATACACACTCAGGTCCATATATTTGGACACAGGCACAATTTGTATTTTTTAGCCATTGTATTAATTGAAAACAGAACACTTGTTAATCAATGCTTGTTACAGCATGGTTGTAATTCCTGAATTCTTCGGAATTCAGACCCAAGTCTTGGTCGCTTTGTAAAGAAGACACATGACAGATTATTGCTGAAGTGAAAGCATTTCAAAAAAAGAAAGTATAAAAAGTTATAAAAGTTTAAGTTTACAGTAAAGGTAATGCAGTATACTAATTGTTTTATTTTTTTAAATAAAATAAATATTTACACACACACACACACACACACACACACACACACTCTCAATGAGAGCGACAGTCTGACTGCAAACGGCTCCGAGCGACTCTTTTATCTGTGGATGTTCAGAGGATGTTAAAAGCCTCCCAAACATTCAGCAATTAAGAGTAAATGAAACATCAATGATTCATGGCTGCAAACAGATAAAGAGATGCATTAAAGCGACAGTTTATCCAAAAAGGTTAATTCTAGGGATACACCGAATGTTCGGCAACCGAAATTAACCGGATAAGCGAAAAGACACAATAAATTGTACCAAACAATGACGTAACGCGATCACGACGAATGTGATACGTGCGACAAACATCTCAAATTCGTAATGAGAGTCATTTATAAATCTGCTGTTGTCAACAAAAGAAACACTGTGGTCCTGCAGTGTGTGTGTGTGTGTGAGTGTGTGTGTGAGAGTGTGTGTGTGAGTGAGTGAGTGAGTGAGTGAGTGAGTGAGTGAGTGAGTGAGTGAGTGAGTGAGTGAGTGAGTGAGTGAGTGAGTGAGTGAGTGAGTGAGTGAGTGAGTGAGTGAGTGAGTGAGTGAGTGAGTGAGTGAGTGAGTGAGTGAGTGAGTGAGTGAGTGAGTGAGTGAGTGAGTGAGTGAGTGAGTGAGTGAGTGAGTGAGTGAGTGAGTGAGTGAGTGAGTGAGTGAGTGAGTGAGTGAGTGAGTGAGTGAGTGAGTGAGTGAGTGAGTGAGTGAGTGAGTGAGTGAGTGAGTGAGTGAGTGAGTGAGTGAGTGAGTGAGTGAGTGAGTGAGTGAGTGAGTGAGTGAGTGAGTGAGTGAGTGAGTGAGTGAGTGAGTGAGTGAGTGAGTGAGTGAGTGAGTGAGTGAGTGAGTGAGTGAGTGAGTGAGTGAGTGAGTGAGTGAGTGAGTGAGTGAGTGAGTGAGTGAGTGAGTGAGTGAGTGAGTGAGTGAGTGAGTGAGTGAGTGAGTGAGTGAGTGAGTGAGTGAGTGAGTGAGTGAGTGAGTGAGTGAGTGAGTGAGTGAGTGAGTGAGTGAGTGAGTGAGTGAGTGAGTGAGTGAGTGAGTGAGTGAGTGAGTGAGTGAGTGAGTGAGTGAGTGAGTGAGTGAGTGAGTGAGTGAGTGAGTGAGTGAGTGAGTGAGTGAGTGAGTGAGTGAGTGAGTGAGTGAGTGAGTGAGTGAGTGAGTGAGTGAGTGAGTGAGTGAGTGAGTGAGTGAGTGAGTGAGTGAGTGAGTGAGTGAGTGAGTGAGTGAGTGAGTGAGTGAGTGAGTGAGTGAGTGAGTGAGTGAGTGAGTGAGTGAGTGAGTGAGTGAGTGAGTGAGTGAGTGAGTGAGTGAGTGAGTGAGTGAGTGAGTGAGTGAGTGAGTGAGTGAGTGAGTGAGTGAGTGAGTGAGTGAGTGAGTGAGTGAGTGAGTGAGTGAGTGAGTGAGTGAGTGAGTGAGTGAGTGAGTGAGTGAGTGAGTGAGTGAGTGAGTGAGTGAGTGAGTGAGTGAGTGAGTGAGTGAGTGAGTGAGTGAGTGAGTGAGTGAGTGAGTGAGTGAGTGAGTGAGTGAGTGAGTGAGTGAGTGAGTGAGTGAGTGAGTGAGTGAGTGAGTGAGTGAGTGAGTGAGTGAGTGAGTGAGTGAGTGAGTGAGTGAGTGAGTGAGTGAGTGAGTGAGTGAGTGAGTGAGTGAGTGAGTGAGTGAGTGAGAGAGAGAGAGAGAGAGTGTGTGTGTGTGTGTGAGTGTGTGTGTGAGAGTGTGTGTGAGAGTGTGTGTGTGTGTGTGTGTATGTGTGTGTGA